GGCCCTAAGGATTATAGTGTGTGGGGTAAAGTATTTCCTTTATTACTACATCGTACTACCATTAGGGTGAATTGTTATTCCCGTAATCGGACAATTTATCTTACTTAGAAGCCGACTGCGGTCAATCAGCCTGTTTTTGGTTATCATTGGAGTAATTAGCAGATCACAGTCTTTTATCATTTATTTGAGTAGTCTTGTGAAAAAAAAACAGAAGACTGAAAGTACCGTACGATATGTTTCAAAATTAGAATTGACAAATGCCGTTATCGGACAGGCACATTTATGTGTCCGTTATTGAATTTACACTTACTTTGTAAAAGGTTTTTTAAATATTAAGTCAGACTTTAAGAACATTATTAGCACTGTATAACCTTATTTTGGTTCTAGTTTTAACCTTATCATAAACTATTATTGTAAATTTTCATATTTAATGTTGCTTGGAAGAAATCGCTTTTTAACGATAAGGCCGCCGTTACTCGCTAAATATTTTTTTTTTGGTATTACTTGAGCTGAAAATAAAGTATTTTTTGTTTGTTTTGTTATTACGATACGCTTCTATATATAATAGCTGATACATATTTTAAGGTAAAACACTAACTCGTTTCTTCTTATAAATAGTTATATGTGGCGGTTAATTTAAATATTAAAGAGACTTTATAATCGCAACAAAAAACTTCTGCCCTAACTTAACGCGTTCAATCTTCATAGCCTGGCGGTCACGTGCATCACGTTTTATGAGAGATAATCCGGACACCAGCCCCGGAAACAAAAAATAACTACTCGTGAAGTTTGTAATGGGAAAATAGTAACAATTTCGGGGTGGTATCAAGCTTTTATCAGTTCACCTGTAAGATATCGCTTATATAGCTGCCCGTTAATCGATGAGCTTAACCTCGATCAATGATTTTTTTAAATATTATATTCTACAATTATGTACTTAATACTCTTGCATCCAGTAAGTAACGTAATATTTAAATAAAACACATTAACAATTTAACACGCGATATATATTAGTTAAACTTGTTTGATTATTATTATTTTAACTACGGCCCGTCTGACAAAGTAAACAACTGCTACGCTAGCGCCATCTTTTCCGTTAAAGTTATATGGTGAAACTGGCCGGATATATATCGCGTTTTAAATCATTAAAGTGTTTTATTTAAATTAAGTACTACTCGCGTAAACTACAGACAGTGTATTTAAATAACGTAATAATAAAGAAAGACTTACAACTCATAGTGTGGTAGGTCTAAGCTTTTAAGCCCTGTCTCCTGTATGAGAAATGTATGAGAAAATCCGTGCCCAGATGTGGGAGTTGAGTTGGTTGAAAGCGTTATTTCCGTATATAACCGATGAATAATTAAGATTTAAATAAAACACTTTAACGGTTTAAAACACGATATATTGGTTAAACTTATTTGAAAATTATGTTTAACATCGGTCCGACGTTTCGGATGCTTTGCAGCAGCCGTGGTCACGGGGAGACTCGAAGTTAAAAATCATTTTCCAAGAAAGTTTAACTAATATATCGCGTTTTAAACCGTTAAAGTGCTTTCTTTAAATGTGTACTACTCGCGTAAACTATAGACAGTATTTAATAATTGAGATATTAAAACACCTTTCTCGATCTCATATCAAAATAAGACAAGTTTTACTGCAATACATCTAACGATGGTATGTTTAAAGTTGTGAATCCCGTTAAACACGTCGGAGGCATAGAGAGACATATTTCTGTGTCTAGTTCACTGATAGCTTGCAATTTCAGATAGCTAATGAGGATTACGAATCTCATCAGAAATATGTCTTCCGGGAATCATATCTAAGACTCTCTTAACTTTAACTATGAAAGCAGCCTATTACCTAGTATAATTCCTTGATATGCGACAATCGAGAAGTTCATAACACTCAAGCAATAAAAGTACTATTTGCTTACACTTTTACACAGCAGTAAATAGTCGAATTACTTACGGAGATTTATTATCATTGTCAGTTTATTACGGTTCGGATCTCGAGAGGCTGGGAAAAATTGTACGAGAATCGCTCAGCGAGGATCTAATTGCCACTTTCCGACACAATTTTCAATTAATCATTGTTTAAATTATTTATGCCCGTTTGAATCACTGATATTTCTGGAGCTGGAGGCTTCTTTATTAAAAAATTCAATTCGAGAGAGTAAAAATTAAAAGTCGGTATTATCGTTAACGCAAGTGTACATTAAAAAAAAAACACTCTAACGGTTTAAAACGCGATTTATAATAGTTAAAATTATTTGATTATTATTAAGCCATAGTCACGTGTCTCCCCGTGACCGCGGCTGTTGCAAAGCATCCGAAACGTCGAGCCGTAGTTAAAAATAATTTTCAAATAAGTTTAACTAATATATCGCGTAATAAACCGTTAAAGTTGTTTTATTTAAAAGAAGTTGGTATATTTAGCATCGTGACATGCATCCGTACCACAATGGTTAGGCAAATTTTATTGTTATAAGAGGGCATCTCCGACTTTGGTTTCTGGTTTTTTATGATGCAGTACCCTATACACTGTCAACCAATTTTGGCTTTGATACATAATAGTGCGGTTCGGCAGGGCACAGATTACTTGCCTAAAAAGAGCAAAATTCAATTTTTTACAATCATACTCAACAGAAAGATAAAGCATAAAGTTAGTTTATTTTATAACGAAAGACTGACAGTCATGGGCTCACATAATTGAAGACCCATAAGCAAGTACTATAATATTTCAATAAGATGCTTTGACGACGTATTTTGATTTTGTACATTCGGAATTGCATAGTTTAAATCCAGGGTTGAATAGTGGGATTACACGTGCAAGACAAAGACAAGTTGGAAATTGAATATACGAGCATCACACATTAATTTTGAAGCACATACGTAAAACTTAATACAAAAAAGCAGGAGAAGGTTTTATTGATATCGTATTTTACTTCGTTCTCATAAGTTCATAATATGCGAATATAACATATCGTTTTTCGCTACGACGTACGGAATTAAAAACATGCATGGCAAGATGGTGGCAATTATAAAATATATGCTTTGTTAATTATGGCGTGGCTAATTTATTCAACAGCATGCATATAAAACAGCATGAGGTATTTATCCAATATAAATCGTAAAGTAGCACGCGAACATTTTAATAATTTAGCCTGAATTAACTTTTTATGATAATAAGTAAATGGATTACTTCCATGAATTGCTATAGTATACATTTTGCGTCATAAAAATGTTATTTTGGTACTTCAATTGATATTACAGTGAGGCATACATCAAATGGGCTACAGTATTTCATTAGTCTACGATAAATGAAATAATTGTACGAGTGTGTAATTATTATATTTTTTTATAATATTTTATTCATTAAATAAATGACGGGCTCGTTGGTCTAATTAACAATTTATCCCCACCAGGTCCAACATGTTAATTTTTTAATTTATAATATTTCCAAAACATGCTAGAAACCTGTATATTATATGGGTGGTGGGAATATAGAGACTCCGTTCGGGTCACGAACCACCGTCTGATAAGCCGTGAAGCTTAATCGCGTTTCGGATTCAGTCTGTGGATTTCCAAATATCCAAAGCCAAAATAGGCCGACAGCGCATTTTGTTTAGGTGCTATAGCTTGGGGTATATCACCTCCCAACAGTAAACCCCATGCCATGTCTGTCCTCCTCTACTCGTATCATTAAAACACACTAATTATGTTACGTAAAACACGGTATATATAAGTAGGTGTTTGTGTGCTATGTGTTGGGAGGAATACGAAAGTGATTTATATTTTTGTTTGTGGCTCTCGTGTAAGCTACATACCTAACTAATATATTACAGATGTGTGTGTGTGTGTCAAGTGTATCACAGTTTATACATAGAAATGTTATTTTAGAAACTGCCCTTAGCATTCTCTATTCTCGAAGGCATTACGTTTCTGTCAAATATCTCTCGAGAATTTCAACCTATCAAGCGTCCGCAGAGTTGCCAGATTAGCTCACTCGATTGTCGTTTTATCCCCAGACGAAATGGTCTTTCTTAAAGCGTTTAAATCCTTATTTTATATGAATGCTTTATGACTGTCATAAACTTTATGAATAATAGCATCCACCCGACCTGTGCTTAATGGCTGTGTCAGCGTTTTAAATAATATAAGCCGAGGATTTAATTCATCCATGGCGAAATGTTACATTTACTACTTAAACGCTAAGACAGATGTTACAGAATTGTTTTATTTAAGAATACGTATTTATGTACGTAGTCAATACTTTATGTCCATTTACAGAATTAAACAAGTTAGCTTTGTACTTACTTTTATCTATGTTATAGTTGCTTGGTATGGGGTTTACATTTAAAGACATAACATAAAATTGTCGTAGGTATTATATAGATTGCCTTACCTAATCCTTAGTACCTAATCTATTTTATATTTATTTATAGATTTTATTCGTTAAACGTGCTCTTAATGTGTATTTTTATTTTATTTATTTATTACAGCTTTATATATTAAAAGATGCTTATAATAAAAAAATATGATTTCCTTTTGGTGATCCTTTGAAGATTTGATCATTTATAAAATATATCCTTATTGCGTAATATGATAGGTTCGTGCATTTATGATTGATGTATAGTTATTCGTGCGTGGCGTGGTGGCTGTGGTATCAGTATTCGCTTTTTAACGTCTCGGTTGAGTTATGGATTGCTTTTAGAAAAATGGTGAAAGAAAAATGTGTAAGTCGACGTGTGAATTAATTATATGTAGTTAGATATTATTTATAGATTTTCTAGCTTTTCATTCAGTATTTCGATTTGCGTACATATAAAAAATAACTCACTATAAACAATTCTCGTGGCAAATATCGTGTTTGCAATCCGGTATTTGCTGCTTTGCTGATTGACTTATCATTCATGAATTATGTATATACTTAGAGCTAGTAAAAGAAACCTTGAACAATGCAATTGTAGTTCTAAATTTTTGTGTAATTCTGAAAATACTATGATGCGGGGCATGTTTCAGCGTTGTTGCGAGCGCGCCGGTGTGGGGGCGGCGGGGCGGGCCCGCGACATGAGCGGCGCGCGCGCAGCCCGCCCCGCCCGCTATGCAGCGTTTGCGCACCACGTTCAAACGATCTCGAACGCCTACGCCCGCCGACATGAAGACTCAAAGCAGCCTCGAAGTGCCCAAGCAGGTTGGTATTCGCAACTATTTTTCTACTAGCGACCTGGTAAACGTTCTTTTGCCATATAAGATATTTCGAAGAAATTTGATTACCATAAAAAAGGTTTGTAAAAGACTGTCGCGGATATTTTTGTTCGATATTTAAAGAAGAATAATTTTAAATTGTGTATGGCTTTCACGGCCATCGTTCAGCAAATCATCGTCTTTAAGTTTGCTCGAAGAATTAATTCTTCGAGCAATCGAGGAGTTAATATCTCCTGATGATGCTGTCAACACGTGATGGCGAAACGTCGAGAACCTCTTCTCGCTTACATCGGCCGAACAGCCCGAAAGACAATGATATGAAGAATAATTTTACACGTATTTTTTACTTAAACCCCTAAACCCTTTTTTTAACTTAAGCTTACATTAAACCCAATAGAATATATACATATATAGATTCCCTATTTTTTCCACTATTCACCCTTATTCTTCGCAGCCATTGGTGGCAGTCTAATGTTTTTAGCCTTAAGCTTGCCTCGATGAATGGTCCAATCCACAAGCCCTGACATTAGCGCGTTCAAACAAAATACAGATTTATAATATAGATTAAAACTGTATGCACCTGATAAATATATTCTTTACGTCATATTTATTATTATCAGTATATGTTCAGGGACCAGGTCATTATACTTTCGAGGAGTGCCTCATCAACATTGCGGTATATGATCGTTAACTAGTAAGCATCCGATGCATAATGAAGGCTGAAGCGTCGTCGAGTTAGTTCACCTGGGTTATTATGGTACTGGTTACTATGCTTACCGAGCTAGGTGTATTCACTTTAATGATACGTTTTTTGAAGGGAAAATGTTTAGCAGAAATAATATCTTATATACGTTGTACCCACAAAAAAGGCTCATTGTCATCTCTCAATGATTTTAGATTAAAAGAATTGTGTCTGGCAGGGTAGAGTTCAAACCACGACTAACAAGCATAGCATATAGCTTAATCACTTGAGCTAATCCGTTTTCCAACCCTCTCGTGCAATATCGTCTTTATCTTAAGTGTTATTGAAAACATATGTGTTTTAATAGATAATCATTACGGTTAAACACAAAAGTTTCGATGCTTGAAACATAGCTATTTTTATATGTTAGTGATTACTTATTTTAATTATAATAAATTAAATGTTGTAATGTCTTTTAAATTTTTAAACATCGGTGCTTAATCGTAGTTAATGTCTACATTAGTTCTTATACCAGCATAACAGCAATTGTCTTTGTACAAGACTGTAAGAAATAAGTAGTGGATAAAATAATTATGTTGTTTAGCTTTGCCGGTGGAAAACAAATTAAAAAATTTAAATTTCTTTGAAATGTAGCGAATGTAAGAGAAATAATTTCCACGTAGTTCACCTTTTCTTTGAAGTGGTCTTGTTTTAGAAAGGGCAATTAACTTTTCTACTTGTAAGTACACCTCACTCGTAGTTCTACAAAAAGCCCGGAAATACAACCTACATTTCTCTAACCCTGGTTTTATTCTCAACCGAGATTCTTATAAAAATAATTGTATTTAAATATAAAGCTTGGAAATGTATAAGGAATAAGTTTCTTCGCGGAACGAGTAGTTATATTTTAATAATTTTTAGCGATTAAAAATTATATAGGTATCATACAAACTTATTTGTTGGGTTAAAAGTCGAAAAACATTTATTTATGTCAATAAAATTTAGAATATTTTTTATAGCTTTGAAGAACCACTAATGTATAAGATATACATTGTATCAGTAGGATCCTTCACATGTACTAAACTAGAAGTGAACGTTGTGGATAGAATATCTATACAAAAATGTTTGAAATTTGTCTGTCAATAAAGTATGCTAATAAATAGATAATAATGAATAATAGTTTTAATCAAACTAAGCATTAGACTTTATTTTGTTTAGGTCCGATCGGCGTCATTCGATGAGATTCAGTTGGAGGCGGCGCGCGGCGCGGGCGCAAGCTCCCTCTTGTCAGTACCGCAAGGGGGAGCCCGTAGCCGATCCTTCGACTCAGCTGGGTCTGATGACTCGGGAACGTATTTGGAGGTAATTTTGCCTGTTCGTATCTTGTCTTCTTTATATTTAAAAAAAAGACTAGTTGACTGCTTTGAATGAATATTTTGTAATTTTTTGTTGATGTTAAGGAACCTAGAAAGAGTTTTCAAATTTTAAAAATATTTTAAAATCATACTATTCGTAGAGTTTCAGTTGCATGCTTTTAAACCTAAGCGTATACCAGCTACGCTTTAGCCACTAACCTACGGCACTCTTGGAACTCACATTCCATTCATGCCTATGTGAATTTCTGGCTGCTTCCGCCGAGCACATTCATGTTAATCCTGGGACGAGTGCGGTTAAGAACTAAACCATGTTACTATATGCAGTACTGGTTTATAAGAAATATAATATTGAATCACTATATCTACTCCACAGAGATTCAATATCTTTCATTGATACTTTTGGTTATAACATTTATAACGTACTGCCTTACTGCTAGGGTATACTACACTTCTAGATTAACGACATTATAATTAATTTGTGCAGGTACCGCGTCTCTGGTCACGACGCCGATCAGGTAAAGGCACCCCACCACCATGTGTTCACTGCCGGCATATGGAGACGTGGCTGGCTCGTCGCAGTGAGGAACGATCCACACCCGAACGACTGCCACCTTCATCGTCCGCCGAGGATGATGACGATGAAGATGATGAAAGTGATGTGGAATCACCTAGGATTATACTTGCGCCCGCGCCACCAACACGCATGCTCTTACCGCCACCCATACAGTCACCACCACCGTCGCCTGGAGCGCCATCATTTGAACTGCAACCGCCCATCGACGAACCACCAATAATTCCACAACGACGACGTTCAATATCGCGACAGGAAGCATTTTTTGTAGAACCAACGGGTAGTTCACTCGAGAATGTTAGAGCCTCTGAAGAAAGCGCTAAAAGTGAACCGAGAGACACCATCGTTCACGATATTTACTTGGCCGTACCGGAATTGAAACGAGACCGCGCAGCTTCTGTGGACTCATGTTTTTCCAAAGTGTCTGGAGGTAAACGAGCTGAAGAGTTGTGTGAGAGTGGAGATTATCTAACAGTGCCCGCATCGGGACTTCGATCTCGTTCAGTGGATATTGTGTTGCCAACGGCGGAACAGTCCCGATACAAAGCACTCGCGCTCACGTCAGCTCAAGCACCTCCTTCTCCAACGAACGCAGTTCCGCCGAGCGATGAGCCCGACGTAACATCCGTGGTTCTTCACGTTTTAGAAAGGTCAGTCATTTACTTAAATAAATGTGCTTTAAATTTGTGTTTTATTTTGCGTATTATTTTAAATCTATAAGTGAAAACTTCCTTTAACTTTTTTGTTCTATACTATATAATTTAGATTTTTATTAAGCTTATATGTATATAAAAAAAAATGTATATGTTATTAGTTGTACAAAATAATATTTTGGTATACACTTAAACTGAGTTAATAATATTTGTTGATGCCACGGATTCTAATAAAAAAAGCAAAACATTCCATTGTATCAAAGAATTTAATTTAATGCAAAAATTTCTGACGTCAATTATTTTGTAGCGCTAATTGGCGTGTATTGGGAACAAAGACTCAATATAATATAATATTATAAAATTTGTAATAACCTATTTTTAATTGTTATTGTTTAAGTATGTGTCTCCAATTAATGTAACTGGCTATTGCCGTTTTAATTGTTGTAAATAAATAAAAATAAATAAATAATACTACGGGATTCTAGGAATATGAGAAATACGAAGCTTCGATGATTTATAATTCTCCATATAATGCCGTTCGTATTTAGAATAACTTACGTGGAATTGTTTAAGCTTCGCGTATGCAGCTATTGGTGCGGTTATGTTGGTTTCGAACTTATTTGTGTTAGTAGTATTTACCCAATATTCTAGTCTGATTTGTTTGAAAGTCATCAGCCCATAACCTCATTGATTATACATGTTATAGGACTACATGTTGTTTGAAGTGTCTTTTATCTGCAAGTGCAAGCAATATCTCATTTTAAAAACAGTATGATTTTTTATGCAAAATGCAACGTATGTTTGAATATTGTATCTTTGATGGGCTCGTTGGTCTAACGGTAGCAATGTGCGGCTAATAATCAACGGGTCGCGGGCTTTAACCCGCGTGAAAAAACATGGTGGGGATTGATCCCCACCATGTTTTTTCATCAATTTATAATTTTCTTGAAACATGTTCGTCTTCGTCTCGAAATCTGGATGTTAAATGTCCCACAGGTGAAAAACCCAATTATTCGCGTTTTCGTTTCAGTCTGTGAATTTCCGAATACCATCATAGGTCGAAAACCCAACTTGTTGAGATGTTATATACCATCAAGCGAAACTCATATTTACTTTCATTTCGACTTAATATAGGTTTAACAAGGATATAGGTTTTATCGTGACCTTATTAGAGATATCACAGTCACAAAGGCAAGAAGAATATTCTATGTCAAAGTATGCTATTACACATTTTATGGTATTGTATGAACAATAAACACTCGTACTACAATGTTATCGACATAAAGGAACGGATCCCTCTTTTTCAACGTTCTCAAATTCTATGTAATCGTCTCTGCGCGAAAAACTCGAAACGCGAAACTAACTTTAATTACGCAACTATGTACAAAACAACACTATAAAAAAGTTGTATGAAGGACTGATGTGTGTCTATGTCGTTTTTTACTTAGTGATTATGAATCACATCGGTGTCTTTACGTAAATAGACATTTGTAGATAGAGGACATAAGTAATTAATAAATCTATTGTCTACAATTTCACTAACTTCGGTTTTGATTGAGCTGTAAAACTCAATATTTGGTAGTATTAACTTTCGTTCGATCGTTCGAACGAAAGTTTCGTTTAATTTATAGCTAGCTAAATAGATATAGGTGTTTTATATACTGTGTAGTTTATACTAATGTTATAAAGCTGAAGTGTTTGTTTGTTTGAACACGCTAATCTGAGGAACTGATTCATGTTTAAGAGATGAGATGAAAACGGTTCACGATAGCAAATTAATATTTAAAAAAAAATTAAATAAATCTACAATACATATTTGAGACAGTATATGTCTAGCTTTTAAAACTAACTCACGAGAACCGTTTCTATGATAATCACGATCGAAGTACGTCATATGACAAAAGAGCATTTACCAGGTCAGCTAGTCATAAATATATACAAGTACCTCTCAATAATGTAAAAAATGTAAATTCATAATACGTAACTGTCTCTAATCTTTGGCAAATTCTAATTATTCACCAAAGTCGCAAAAATACATTTTCGAAATTAAATTCCGTAATATTTCACGTAAAAATGACAAGCTATTCAAATTAGACGTTTCCATAAATATTTACAGATCCAGTGAAATGTAGACATTATTCTCTTGTAACATCTGCTAATGAATTGGCTCGGCTTTAAATTATATGCTTACCATAATATTATCAACAGGGAAAAATATTTTTGCTGCCTTGTTAATCGCCTAGTAATCGATTAGTATTTATTTATTATAGCTTTATTATTTATAATACACACCACAGAACATACATATTAACGAGGAAGAATCACACGTACTAACTTATAAATAAAAGGCCTTATCGCTAAATAGCGATCTCTTCCAGGCAACCTCAAGTACAGAGGAAAAGAAATAGAAATGGACTTATGTATTTAGTTTTCATTAATTAGTAATTATTAAATAAATCACTTGCAACGATTAAAGACGAAATAAATAAGTTAATTTATTTTTATCTATGATTATTTCTCGCGTAAAATGCAGACAATGCCTTATATAATAATATAATATTAAATACGCATTAGTTTGTAGTTAAATTATCTACTCTATTTGAAATTTCACTGTAAAACGCTCAATTCGTAATACGAGGGAATTTTAAACGTATCAAAAGTATTTAATTCATATAATTTTCTATTCTTCATTCAAATACATATTAATTACACAGTAGTTAGATATTACTGCGTTAAGAACAATTGTACTCAGATTTTTTATTGCTATATATCTCAAAAATACAATCTATTTATTCTATCTACTTTAGGTGACCATGATGTTTCATGTATTTAGTATGTAAGTACATATTTAAGTATATAAATTTATTTAATTATTTACTTTTTATATAATATTCTATATTTGTCGAGTTTGTACATCACACGTCAACAGCGCGTAGGTTCAACTGAAAATCAGTTAAGTAAAATTTAGTTAATGATATGGCTATTTATATAATGTCAAACTATATCATTTAACTAAAACACTTTAACGGTTTAAAACGCGATATATTAGTTAAACTTATTTGAAAATGATTTTTAACTTCGGCCCGACGTTTCATATCATTGCAAAAAAACCGACAGCATTTCTTCTTTCAAATAACACTATTTAATAATTATTATAACCTGTGAATACATTGTAACCAGATACACGTTCGTTCAATGTAGGTATTTATGCATAATGGAAATCTAAACGAGAGAGAGAAATATGCATAAACAATGTTAGCATAACATTGTTTATGCATATTTTGCAATATTAAAGATAATATCATAATATAAAGGAGGCTTTTGAATAATGGCTTTCATTTTCGTACAAAATAATATCTGGAATGGTCAACATGTTGATAGCACGATGCGTTCTGCTGAACGCGCTGCGTGGTTTCACCAATCGATACACTAAAACGATTATTATTATTGGCGGTTTGTGATTTGCAAATCAAATACTGTCTATAGTTTACGCGAGTAGTACACATTTAAATAAAACACTTCAACGGTTTAAAACGCGATATATTAGTTAGACTTATTTGAAAATGATTTTTAACTTCGGCCCGACGTTTCGGATGCTTTGCAGCAGCCGTGGTCACGGGGAGACTATAATAAGTCTAACTAATATATCGCGTTTTAAACCGTTGAAGTGTTTTATTTAAATTTGCAAATCATTTCCAAATATCGGTAGATAATGAAACCGTGACTAATTTGGTACCTAACTTAGTTAATCTATCTTGTTTTATTATGTTACTGGGTCAGCTTCTTGGGTTTTCGAATTGTTCGACAGAAATAATTAAGAAATTGTTTTCACCATTACCAGTTGATAACGTCATCAGGAGTTGATGCCCGTTCGATGACTATACGAAGAAAGCCTTTTTAAAGGCCTTAGCTTCACTGTTATTTAGAATCACTATGAAAATTTGCCACTCAATTTTGCGATTGCTACTAATAAAATTCATCTCGCTTTTGGATTGAATAGCTTTTATATTATCGAAATATGTTTGAAAACTTAATAATTTTTTACATTCATATGATGATATATATGTTTATTCGTATAATTAAGACATATGTAGTGTTATAACGACATTATTATGTATTTATTGAAGCAAGAATCATGTTTGTTATGATTATAACACCCGATTATTATTCGCAAGTCTAGGAGTTCGATTTTTAGTTGTTCACGAAAAATGTTCTTTGTGTTTATTCGGAAACGTGGCGTGACTCTTATTGTTTGAAGCTTATAACCGAAATTTTGCCTTTTGTCATCTACCATCACTCATTTGGCCTGGGAGACGATTGCTTATGTACATACTAGATACCTCCATAAATTTATTTTGTCAATAAGATAATAAAACAATCAGTACAAACTACTGCAGAAAAGTTTCGAATAATTAAGGTTGTTACTCAGTTCAAAGTTTGTATTGTAGTGACCCATTTCAATTGTTTTCGAAAACTATAAACTAACTTGAGTTTATAGTTTTTCAAGCTTTATCTAAATAAATATTATAGATATTGCCGATGAACGAAAGTTAAAAACTTATAAGTTACATCACACCAAATCAATAATGGAGTTTGCTTTCAACGGTATACGCGATATGTACTCGTAATAGTTAAACTTATCAACAATTTATTAAACCGTCCCGTGAAAGTGCTTTATTGAAATGTGTAACGCGTAAACTACAGACAGTACTTACATAATGTTTAATTTTAAATGAAGAAGTATTTTTTATGGATAATAAGTTAAGGTCCCGAAAATTAAACCGAAGATAAATTATTTTGATACTGCGCGTATGTTACCTACGTTAAATCTTGTTTCGTTGTCAAACACATCTTGAGTATTATTACGTTAATCAATGGTCACATGATGAGTTAAAGTGGTCCCTAAATTAAATACGACTTGCACCAATGTTAACATATACCTCTTAGGTAGGTAAGCATCCGATCCGTACTGTAGTAAAAAACTTATTCGAAGTGTA